GAACCACCGGGTACGTAATTCCTCTGACGCATTCATGATTTTTTCTGTTACTGTGCTTGTTACCTCAGCTGATGTAAAAAGCGAAACCAAACTATTATAGGGTCTTTCGCTACTCCCGTCTGCCTTTGGATTCAATACTGATCAACTTTGTTTTCCCAGTGGATTGGTTGCATTGCGCCAAGGGATTTTGGCCTCAAAGTGACACTATAAAAACAGCCAAGGAAAAAAAATTGGCGCAGAGAATAAGAATATCAGAGTTCAGGTACTGGTGTATTGTTGACCTTTTAACAATACTTCTATATTTCATTCTTTTCTCTTTTTCATGTTTGTTACTGGCGTTGATGATCAGGGTACCTAGAAAAATCTTATTGTAAGTAATACCTTTATGAGTAACATCTAGTTTTTTTTTCAGTTCTCAGCTTGTTTTAATGTGCATGCTTAAGGGAACAGTCGATGTAAATTAAAAGACATGCAGCAAACTAACTAGTGTCTGTCTCTATTCTAATCATCAATAGTGGGTAACGCTACAAATGACACCACATCGCATTCATTATGTCTCACTCAAGGTGTCCCTCAAGGTTCAGTTTTGGAACCGATACTGTATTCCTTAAACACTACTCCAAGGATTAGGTGAAATTGCCAAGCAACATTAAATGAATCACCATTTCTATGCGGATGACTCGTAATTGTACATATCATTTAAAACATGCGATACAAATGATGTGGATCAAGGCAAGACCTCGATGGAGGCGTGTGTTCGTGACATCGATCTTTGGATGGTACAAAATCGACTCAAGCTAAACCAGGATAAAACGGAGGTGCTGGTTTTTTCCTCTTGTTATCGTCCAAGACCAAACATTTGTAATCTGACCATTGTTGATGAGGTGGTTAACTGTTCCTCCACTGCAAAGGACACTGGTGTCACTCTCGATAATTCTCTGTCAATGGTTCCCCACATAACAGCGATGCCTAAATCTACTTTTTTTCACCTGCGCAACATCTCCAAGATTAGGGGGTTTCTCAACACTGAAACTACGAAAGCCCTCGTACATGCCCTTCAGTGTTACTTCAAAGGTTGATTGTTACAACTCCTTGCCGTATGGCGTTCCCAAATATTTATTGCAAAGACTCCACCGAGTATTGAACTACGCTCCGAGAATAGTGTTTAGATCTAATAAATATGATCACATAGCGCCTCTCCTCAAGGATCTCCATTAGCTACGCATCCAACAGCGGATGGAATTTAAAATTCTTCTAATTACATTTGCAACAAGAAAGCTCCAACTTATTTAACAGATCTTCGTATATCCTATACACCTTCAAGATCACTCCGCTCATCCTCCAAAAGCCTTTTGAAGATACCCGTGTACAATCTTAAGTCCTACGGTGGTCGGTCGTTTGCCTTGGCTTTAGCAGTGTTGTGGAACTCCCTTCCACAGTCACTCAGAGACTTCCAATCAGTCGAAACTGTTAAACGGAAACTTAACTTATTTTAACGGGCTTACATGGAACATTGAATGTTCATTGTTATTGTACTTTTTATAAGTAATATTCTATTTTTATTTAGGTAATTGTAGTTTTTAATTATAATTTCCCTTCTGTGAAGCACTGGGAAAAGACGCTATATAAATGTTTTATTATGTATTAAAAAGTAATGAATTTCGTATTATATTATCCTATAAGTCTACTTAGCCACAAAGAAATGATCTGGAGCTGCAATTGTGAAACACATACAATTCTGTACTGTGCATGACTAACTGTTTGTTCATTCCCTTCGTAAATATCCTATAGTTTAACATGTTTCAGTAATGGGTTTGTTTATGTGCATGACTACAACGTGAAACTTCCTAATTTCACGTTTTATGGAGGACGTAAACACAAGACAACGATTTTCAACTCCTGAGTTGGAATAAGAGCGATGAAGTTTAAAATAGCGCGAATTCACTTTCTGGGTAAGTTCCCTAATTTCATTATATTTAACCCTATTAACCTGTATTATTAAGCAGTCGGTTGCTGATTTCCCAAGGGTGACTGCTTTTAAAACGCAGGTCTACCTGTAAAAAGTCACCCAGCTGGCCTCAACCCAAGTGTGAAATCAAAATTCTTGTGGTAGTTAACAGCATTTATTCAGACACGTGAAATAACGCAGCAATTAGCACATGACAAAACAGAAGACGACATTTAACATTACTCACCTGTTCCTTCCTCAGTGCCCCAATCTAATCATCAGCGTGAAAAAAAAAAAACAAAGAGAAAAGAAAAGAAATGAACAAGTCGCCGCATTTTAAACCTCAAAGCGGTGAACAACCAATCTTATGATCTTTATTATAATAAGATACACTGTACTCTTTTTATTTTGTATAAGAATGTTGTTTTTCCGGCCCAGGCTGAATATTCTTATTTTTCTGTCCATTTGAGGCTAAAAGTATTCTTGAATTATTCTTAATTATAAATAGCTCAGTGGCATTTATGCTTAGAATGTACTGGGGTTTCAATTACCTGAGTGTTCTTTGCAGTTTAGTGAAAGAAATAATTTTCTAGGGTTGACAGTAAAAAGAAATTGTACTGTTTTCAAATAAAAAATTGAGGCCTTTTCAAATTCGCTGCCTCGGGTTTATTCTTTAAATATTCTTAAAATTTCACAAATTTCAGCCACTATAGTCTTAAAGAATATATTCTTAAAGGAAAAAAAAAACGTGTAGCATGAAAAAGAGGTGCTCATTAGCGCAGGTTTTGCTGTAACTCTGGTTTTTAACATTTTACCTGCTCCAACCAGATGATGTAGGGGAACACTTGATGTGACCGACTTTTCCATTCTAAGACAAAGTAAGATGAAGTATTGTAAATTGATAGAGTTAGCTTTCTAAACAGTGTTTAGCTTCTGTGGATATCATATTGTAGGTCTGGGAAAAACAAAGCACCAGATTTGTTTTCCACATTAATTTCCGCGCGCTGCACTACGCCAGTGAAGCTTCAAGAGAACGCTTGTCACTCGAAAATCGTTTTCATTACTTTGCTCGAACCCAATGCAGACAAGAGGCCATGTTCTTCTCTGACGGGTAAGGCTCTAAAGGACAATATAGATAAATCTCTGCATCTTCTTTTTTGAGAAAGTCTACGTCTGCAAAACTTCTCGTCAACTTCTCTGTGCAGATCATCGTCATCATGGCCGTCAATTTTTAACTGTAAATCATCTCATTTTTGACACCTATCGAATTAATTACGTTTTCAGGCAAGTACTTCCTTTGAATATATTCTCTTTTCCTCATGCCGCCAATCCGTGTTTTAACAGGCTGGGCCACTCTTTCATTCGCCGTGTCCACGATTTTTTTCGCCGCAATTTTAATACGCACATTGCAAAAAATTTAAGTTTAGATGACGATCTGCTCATTAGATGGGATTGGAGGTAGAACGGTTTCTAAAACTAAGGAGTATGATTTATGTGTAGTAGAGGAGTTTGCTCCCAATGTAGTGATCATGCAATACTGAGGCAATTTGCACTAAGAGGTCATGTGACATCGTTTTTATGAAATTGAAAGTTATATGATTTTGCCTTCGAAAAACGATTAGAGGATCATATCTTAAACAAAATAATAGTGATTTTGTTTTTCACACCCGCACCAGTTTCTTAAAATAAGTAAGTTCGTCACCTGACCAAAATGTGATTTTTAAAATTATGAATTACCTCTTTCTGAACACAACTTTTGCACTTAAACTTCAAGGAAAATGGTCAAAAGATGATGTGGTAACGTTTACAGCACATCTGAGCGTAACTATCAAATGTTTAACAAGATATAAGCAAAAAGTAGTTTTGGCCGCCATGTTGGAGGGTAAGAGTATGCCCTCTAACATGGCGGCCAATACAAATCATACTACTTTGTTGAAAAATCAAAATGCCATAAAATATCTCCCTTAAATGCGTTTCCTCTCAAATTTCTGGTGTAAAATAATTTTTACGCTCTCTGTCAATTTTTGGCATCAGCAAGATTCCAACTCATTGTTTAAAGGAAGCATTGGTCACGTGACCTGTTAGTGCCGTTGAAACTAGCTCGGCAATTGAAGATCTGTGTCATTTGCTTTATAAGTCATATGGAGTTGAATTGATTTTCGTTTATCAAACCCTTTATAGGCAAGATGCCTATTCTTTTAACAGACAACCGAACCTATGTTGCTGACGCCTTAACTTTGAGCCATTTTTACATATCATTCCATCAGAATTCCATGTTTGCTATCTATTTACATTCGTAGACTGTTTTAAAATCCTTACTTGTCGTGTTTTTTACACGTATGTAGTGTCTGCTTACGCCGGTTTATTTTCCAAGTAATTAAAAAAAAAACAGTTCATCGGCTTCAGTTTTGAATTCTTTTAATTTTACTATCCTTGGGAGTGTATTCTATTTGAGAAACGTTTGTGTTTCACACCGATTAATACATTTCGTATATTCATACGTAGCTTATGTTGCTTATATTTTTCTTTTTGTCTTCGCTGCGAGGATCAGTGTGTTGGTTTTCCCCACGAGGAACACGAGAACATGTCGTTGCCATGGTAAGTGATCCTTTTTTTTGGATTTTCCATTTTTTTGGTAGTGAAGAATCCATATGATCTGAGATTACAATTCCTTCAAGTCCAAATGAGTAAGTCAAGAAAGAAAGAGAAATATGTGAATTGGAAATGGATTTTAAGAAATCTTTTTTGTTGCTGTTCTAATTTAAGTAATGATGAAATTCAAATGCCATAATTTCTTAAAGGCCAGTTCTGAGAATGGGTATGAATTTTCGAGGCCGGGTCTAAAAACGGTTGTGGTCTGATATAGGGGTCAGGATTTGGAGAACCGGGCGGCACACCCCACCAAGAATTCCCAGGAATACCCCCGGGGATTATTTGGAGCCTGGTGAGTCAAACCGAGCTAGACACTCTGTTATATTCAACACATAGCTAATACATCAGCGCCTGAGCACCTCGTAAACAACTCAGTCGCGTAAACCTTTAATAATATCTCTTACCTCTTCATATCCAGCTTTGAACCACAGCAAAACTCGAGACTAGATAAGGTTTCGTCATTTTGAGTAGGACGAAGCTCCTCTCCCTTGAAATAAAACGTTGCTTTTATATTTTCTGGCAAGTTTCTGCACAATGGTATTTCAACCAGAAAGTCCCTTAGAGTCTTTGTTTTATCAACCTTCACTATGCAATTTTCACCGCTATCCATGTCCTGGACAGTTATATTGATGTATTCTGGTATAATCACAACTACAGTTGGCTGTAAACTGCTGATGAGTTTCGGAGGAAGACCTCTCTGGGGGGCGTCTGAAATTCGGGCCATTCCGTGGTAGACTTTCTGGTCCTTTACGGGAATTCCAAGCTTCTCCTCTATCTCTGCCATCAAATCAATGACTTTTGCTTTGCTTGGTCGTATCTTTACCGGGAATCTCTCAGTAGACGATGCCTCGACAGTAATCTCCAGTTCGGAATCAATTAACCTCAGGTTTCCAGACAATTTCTTCACGTTTCTATTAGAAAAAAAAAACAATGACATAAAGCATCCCCGTTAATTCCTGGAAAGAAAGTATTGGAACCAGCTGATTTGACCCACTGCTGGAAGTCTTGGGGGCTAAGTGGCCGCGCGGAGTGGTCAGCACGTACGTTAGATTCCCAATCCAGCCGTCTGGGGCCCAATCGGAGGCAGCATTAGCTGGGCTAATGATTGGACAATCGAACGATGCTTTTTCCACCGATAATAGTTGCGTTCCTTTTAGGCAAACGTTTTTCTGATTTAGACAATCCAGTTTGTTAGGATTTTCGTGCTAAACAGAACAAAAATCTAAAAAAAGATTGATCCATACCACAGCTGCGGGCTGCTGCACTGATCTTTTCTTCAATTTCCTCGCATCGGTTTTTATTTTTTCCGCTAAATTGAGCATTTTCTCGTGGGGCAATGGAAGGAAAAGTAGCCCTTTGACTAACAGCAGTGAAATACTAGGCCTCGTAACTTGAAAATAATTGGAATTTGTGTGGACGAATTTGAACTGAACTGTATTTATTCCAGGTCGGAGGCTTGTTCCTAAGGTTACAACTCTCCGATGTCTCTAAGATTACACAGGATTTGCAGATTCCGTGGACGCACAAGGTGCGTACTCATAACTTTTGTTAACAAGAAACACAACATGTTTTCCGATCTCTCCCAGCAGACCTAGCGAGCTCCTAAAGCCTTACATAATCGCGCACAATTTGAACCAAACGAGCTCAGAAGACAACTAATGTTGTGAGGGGCGCCTTAAACACACGCATAATAAATATAGATTTAGCCAGTGCTACGGCAATGAAAATGGCATCAAGATCAATAGCTCTTATTAGCCAAAAAACAAATTTTCACGTGCAGCCCACACTTTTTTTTCTAATAAGCAAAAAAAAAAAAAAAGAAATTTGCAAGTGCAGCACGCTTTTTTGCTTTCTTTGCAATTGTTTTGCAAGACTACAATGCCGTTTTGTACGACTAAAACGTCAAACCTCCCAGTTACACATTTTTATGGAGGAATTGTCGAATGTGCTTATCAAAGATTTTGTTACCTGAATTCATGTTCACTTTTATTTTTTTCACTACCGCTTATTTTCACCTGGCCCCGGTTGCTCGAAAGATGGTTAATTTAACCATATGTTAGTTGGTAACGGTTGGTTAAATTTGCCAGCCGTGGGTTAACTAACTGTTGGTTAAATTCCCGTTGCTCGAAGGTCTGTTAAGCTGATGCTAATCCTTTGTTAGCTAACCAATGGTTAAATAGAATATTACCAGACTTTAACCATCTCCGAACAGGTTTGACACGGCGACGGTAACGAGAATGCCAAAAAAGGAATAAATTAGGTTTAGAATAACTTTAGATTGTGAATTATTAATTACTGTACTTTAGAAATGAAATCTGAAAATGAACCTGCAATTAGTCTACGGGAATATTTCAAGTCTGTCAAAAATGAAAATATGTTTTACGAAAAAAAAACAAACAAACAAAAAGAAGAAAATTTTGCTAGGGCGAGAGTCGAACCCCGGACCACCGACGTGTAAGGTCAACGCATTAGGGAGCTTTAGCATCGACGACGAAGACGGTAGCGAAAAAGTCAATTTTGAAATGAGTTCGCCGTTTTTTCAAACTTTGTCGCGTTTATTCCAATTCGCTGAAAATGTGAAATGTGGGCGAATTTCCTTGGAGTTGATTTCTTGGGGACCGGACTCAAGCTTAGAAAGAGCAAGGAAAGTTCGTCGTCGCTTGTTTACGTTCTCCATAAATCGTGAACTTAGGCATTTTCACGTGTAATGCAGGTTCAAAGTTGTTTTGCTAATCAAACCTATTGTTTTTTTGCCGTTCTCGTTGACGTCGCCGTCGTCGTTGCTAAAGCTCCCTATTAGGGAGTTTAAGATACGGCGACTACGGACTACGGCTACGGATAAACATGCTACTGCGCATGATCAAAACCACGTGACTGTTCATTTTTCCCGCGTAGCCCTGCGGCTACGGTGAGTTGTTGAGCTGTTTCGCGTAGTCGGGACTACGGAGGACATTTTGCTCCTATTTTGCCGTCTCGGTAATTCAAGAATGAATCTCGTCTTTTCGTAAAAAAAGTTTTCAATTCACCTGCTTTAAGTGAGAGGGAAGCGAAATATGTAAGTTGTGTCTATTTTCTGCTCAGATTTACACTGTTAATCTACTGTTGTGAATACATTTTTATCTAGCTAAGCTCATATTTAAATAAGCTTCAGATTGACGGCCGAGGAGAAGAGAAATCATGCAGGTAATTTACTTTCTCTTCGCACTTGAAAAGTTTCAATGTTTGTTCGAACTGATTAGTGTGTCTTTCTATTTGTGTAACCTTTGTTTATGCGAGTTTTTGTATCGCATTTGCTGAATGAAAATGACGTAAACATCTTCGAGACAATCGAAACTCGGCATTTCAATACTTCAAACTACATCAAATCAGTAGTCGGAGAAATCCACCTTCTAAATCTAATAAATGAGCTATTACTATTTCTGTCTATTTCTTTAATATTGACATAAGTATTCATGGACGAAAAAAATTAAACCTGTGTAACCAAAACTTTGTTCACCAATTTCATCCGAAGCAATTACGTGTAATTGCTTCCTTCAAGTATGGAAGAATTTATTCATTGTTTTAAAGATAAGATCACATGCAAAAGTGACTTGCATTTTTGTGAACTGTGATGAAAACAAGAAAATCTTTGCGTGTTGTTTCCCTCTCCGCCTCTTCTCTCGTAGTCTACTGTCTGTAGTGCAATCTTAACGTTCTATATTTGTACGACTCAACCCAGTGCTACAAACGAAGGACAACGCTCTTCCAGCCGTAGTTCGTAGTCCGTAGTCTCCGTATCTTAAACTCCCTATTATCTATTGCGCCACGACAAACAGCACTGAAAGCAGTGAAAAAATTGATCATCTTTAAGACTTTTGCCCATGAAATTCTGCCGGTCGACGCTTTTTTAAGCCAGTAGAGCTTTATTTATCAAGAATTGAAAGATATATTCGAGAAAAACTACAAGCATGTTTTTGACAGTAAAAGCCGTACTTTAACTCATTCCGTCGCATTTGAAGAACATTATGGCTGACAAATGTCTCGCAAAACGTCGCGAAGTCTCTTGCAGCTTGCGATTCTCGGCGTTTACATGAGGAGAATCACTTACGATTCAGCAACAGTAAACATTTCCGTTTTTATTGAACAAAGAGACGTTTCATTTTAGAATGATATTTCACTAAAAACCGTGAGATAAACAACCACTAACAAAATGAAGCGAAAAAGCAAATCAACTGCCATGTTGTTTCATTGATTTTGCAACACATGTCATTTTAACCGATGGTTAACAAGTTAACACTAGTAGCGAGGTACGTTAAATTTAACGCAAGCCAGAAGAAATTTAACCCATGGTTAACACTAACCGGCGTTCAAGCAACCGAAACTAACCCTCGGTTAACTTTTAACCATTGGTTAGGGGGGTTTAACCATGGTTAAGAGTTAACCATCTTTCGAGCAACCGGGGCCTGGTCGCTAGCATTTCTCATTTTCTCACCTCCGCTATGAAATTTTCATGTTTTTCTTCCAACGAAATTCGTCTCCCTAGCCCTTTCTCTGTTATCCACGTGAAAGTAAATATCAAAAATAACGTCGCAAGAGACACGACTTTGTTTCTATTTCTATCTTTCTAAAAGTTGGCGGCCATGCGATTTTCTTACGTTGGATTTGGGTTGCCATACCTGTTGATTGAGTTATTTTATAATGGTGTGCCTGTGGTGCGGACGAACGGTCGTCGCTCGAGCAGTGTACGGTCACGTGATTACCAAATCTTCTGGGATGGGTAGATTTATTTAGCTATGGGGCTCCGCACGCGAGCGGTTCGCGTGCGCGTAGAGCTCCGCTATTATCGGACAGTTAAATGTTGAGAATCTCCAAGCGCTTTCGTTTCTTTACGGATCTAGAGTTACAGCGGTGCAACTTGAGCTTACTATACTACAATCAGTAAGCGGCACAACCTCGTCCCCAGGGCTTTTCCTTTTCCCATTTTTTAAGGGAAAAGCCCTGAGGACGAGGTTGTAAGCGGCATAGAACAACGGAGGAACATAAATAACTTTCGCCTGAACTGACCTTGACCAGCCATGTTTATCGATGAACGAGTACATTCTGGTAATCGAAAAGCACTTTTGTTAAAAGAACGAAAATCTGAGACTGATAACGATCCAAGTGCAGAGGTGGATCGTTCAGATCTCGGTTAACAACTGGTTTAGTCCTTAATGGAACGATAAATCAAATTTTGGATCGCAAAATCTGGATTTAGATTGGTCAAAAGGAACGCAATCCAAGGTAACGTACAAGTTTCACAATTTTATTTTATTCCATACCCTGATCTTGGTAATCACGAGGGAGCCCATTTCCCATAACTACTACATACTGACCTTAAAAGGAAAGAATTTGACAGCACTTCGTCATTTAGAACTAGAATTTGAACGGGATCTTCGGCTGCATTTAGCTGACTCTGTACGTGACGTTTCAAATCACCAACTGTTGCGTCTGGGGCAATATTCACTTCCAGTGGGTGAGGTAAGCCAGAAACAGCAACTGGAATGTTCAGGAAAGCTTCTGGTGTGAACACGCACTTTACGAGACCATTTTCATCCCGGCCAGACTCAATACCAGCTTCTTTGGGTGCGGTTTTTACGCGATAGAAAGTGAACTTCTTAGCCTCGTAAGCTGGTCGTTCTATCGTTAACTCCTGTCCTCCATATACAACCCAGCCTCCAACGTCATAGCCATCTATGGATATGTCTAAGTTGCAACCTTTGCAAAGAGAGAAAAAATGGGTTATTTATACATAATTGTTAGACGTAGTCATCTTTTTGTGGAAACAGTGGAAAATCTCTGTCTCTCTCATTGCATTCTCAAGTGGCCCTGTAGGCTTTGAAACACTTGACAAAACAAGATGCTTATCATATAGCCCTACTTTGAAGTGTATTTGGCTGTTTTACTGACGAGATCCCTACGCATTCCAGTGTTATGCACTCTAACCAACACCACCGAAATCCGCCAGATTGGATTATTCCATTACTACTATACCGACTTATACTGATATTATTGCAAGCTGCAAAAAAGTATAAACAGTTGGAAATGATTGCTTTAAAAAATCACATTACCCCTTGAAAAAGAACATTAAAAAGACCTGTTTCCCAGCATAAGCGATAAATTGACCAAATTTATGTATGAGACGTCAGACTATTAAATTTGATCTTTGACAATCGTAAAATCTCGTGAGATACTTCTCATGCTGGTCTGCTCAGGGCCACCCAACGAGAATATAGTTCAAAACCACTTAAACATAGTATTGTTAAACGTATTTTAATATTTAAACGGCATATTTATATCCCCTAAAAATTTTCATCTGTTCGGATTTCCTTTCTGAAAGCCTAGTGATCCGAAAATTATAGGGATCAAAACTTACGTTTTCGAAAATTTCTGCCAGAAAAAAGGCTCCCGAAAATTCTAGGTGACCTTTTTGGGGTAAAAGTCCGTTAAAAATGGGAAATTATACCATTTTTTAGATGTTCGAAAATCCTAGGAGAGGCAGGCAAGCAATAAATTTTACAAGAAATGTTTAATACGAAAATTCTAGATCCCAAATCGTCTTCCGAACAGATATTTTCCGAAAATTGAGTTTGGGTGCCCCTGTTTCCTATGTACCATCCTTACTATAGGCATGGGAGTTTTTGACGTGTATCTTATACTGAGTTCCGCTCTTCAACTCCACAAACTCTCCAGCAGGTGTTTTATAGTGCTTTCCACCAATGATTTCCACGGAATATCCTTGGTACGCCAGATAGTTGACATATCGCATAGGTGGTGGTCCAGCAATGGAATCATGTTGAAGCCGACCTTGACCCACTTGTGCTTGAGAACGTGGTGCAACAGATGGAGCAGGATTAGGGACTGGACCTTTAGATGAAGATGTAGCTGAAGAAAAGGAGCATAGAATGGAAAAAGGTGATAACATTAACCCTTAAAACAAAAAGCATGACGAACTTTTTGCAAAACTGAACAAGAAACATATTATACCACTTTCTCTTTTACTTATCTTTTCTGTCTGTACTCAAAACTGTTTCAGAAAAATGCTGAACAGACGTATTATTTAATAATAGAAAACTAAGGAATTTCATGCGTTATGTTTACGAGAAGTTATAACTGGAATAATCTTTTATTATATGTTTTTTTCTGTATTGTTTTTTTTTTATTATTTCAGGGTGTAATAAGTGTTAATTGCTCTTTTCATCTACATAATTAAGTATAAATTAGTATGTGTAATCAAATGGTAACGACTGAAATTAGGGAATAATTTCACTTGCGTTTTGTCTAAATCCTTATCATTTTCTTTGCCTTAAATTATTGGGATTTGGACAAAACGCAAGTGAAATTATTCCCTAATTTCACGAGTATACCATTTCATTACCTATTGATATCATGGGTGACGAATTTCTTTAGCAATCTTTGATTTTTGACATGTTTATCCTGGATCGTATCGATCGAGAACTCCACTCTCTCAAACGTTTATAGCTTAAATTTGGCTTAAGTTCAGAATTTTTCGACAAAATACCTGTTAGAATCCTTCTTGATGTGCTCTTTCGAGTATTCAGGTTTTCTAATTTTTATGCCCTGGCATCTTTATTCATGACATTTTAAAACTTCGTCGCCATCTTGACACTGAGACGTACGGAAGGTTGCCATGACAATTTTGTAATTTCGGCTTGTGAAATTACAAGTTATCGCTGAAATTAAGGATTAATTGGGCAGAAAAACACAAAAGTTCTCTGGCACCAATCAGAAGCTAGAACGGCGGCGACCGTTTGGAACTGGTCTGGTAAGACATTGTCCCCAGGGGCTCTTCTCGCCGTTCTTTACTTTTCTTCGTGCCATATTTTTCCGCCCGTTTGGACTTTCCCTCGCCCCCACTATCTGCCCCTGGGTCTCCGAGGATGTTTCACGAGCCGTTAGGCGAGAGAAATTTTTAAGACAATTTTGAAATATCACGAGTGGTATTTATGCAAAATATCACGTTCAAACCATGCTATTATTTGTTTATACTACTACCCGCAAAAGGTTTGTAATTTTCACAAGTAGGTATTTCAAATTAAGCTGAAATACCACTGCTCTAAGCCAATCAAATTGCAGAAATTTATCATGTAGTAGTATAATGTTTAGAATTTTGTAGTTTCTTTTTAATTAGTTCTTTGTAATTAGAGTAATAAATGTCCTGAAAAAATAATAATAATAAAGAACCGTTAAAACGAAAATCCAATTTTACTTTGAAAATTCCAGAAAAATAAATAGTGCCGTGGAAAACAACTTCACCCTAAGCCCTTTCATTTTACATATTGTCGCAAACGGATCCTTTTAATACAACTGTTGATATTATGTGTGGAGGATATTCAGTTGAGCAGATTACAAGGATAAAGGAAGCCCACCCAAACACAGATCTGCTGTGATGATAAAGAAAACGCAGCTAAAGGTCAAGGCATTAGGCTCGAGAAACAGCAAAAGATAAGCTGGCGAGCGGATGGAATGAAAAGAATCTGAGAACTGTTTCATTTAAAGGCTATAGCATAATGATGGTAACTTATTTGCTTGTTGGAAATTCTCAGGTATCCAATATTTTGGCTTACCATTACACGTATTCTCAGCCTGTGCAAATGTGTGTGCAACTTGTACCGCTGGTGTGACTGGAACTCCCCGATTTCCTCCGAAGGTTTGTGTATCAAAATCACTGAACTGCAGGCTCTGATTGGCTACTACCGAGACGGTGCGAAAACTTCCTGCTTCATCAAATTCCACTTGACTTTTATCTTTCAATTAAGAGAGAAATCTGTCATTTTCAAAACTTGATAGATCAAATCGTCAATAAGTCAATTGTTTTATTAATTTCAGGTACAACTTTAGCTGACAGAACAACTGATATTGTATACTTACTTATGTCTACATCCACTGTCTTTCTCCTTTTGGCTGCCGATCTAGGATCACTCTCTGACACATCACCAACTCCATCAGTGACCACGTCTTCAACATCTGTACCTACATTCATGATTATGACGGCTATATAAGCAAACATTTAATTTTTCTTTTCATTAAACGTACCACCCCACAAAAGGAAATCCAAAAGAGTTTTGGAATCTGGATTCCCCGCCGTGGATTCCTGAATCTATTAATTTTTAGTGGGATCCTGATTCTTTGAGCTGTGTTCCGCACTCCAAAGGCCAGGATTTCGGATTCCAGGAGAAAAATTTCGCGGATTCCAGATTTGACAAGCAAAAATTCCCTTACAAGGGGAGAAGACGTAAATGATATTTAATCTTTCGTAGTATAATAAGTGCAAACCTTGATTAATTTTTACAAGTAAACAACTGGCTTACAGAGACACTGACTAAAAAGTAATAGAAGCAATTAACACTCAATGTTGCAACAACCTTTGTTCATTATAGTAGGGACTGTATTGTCTCTAGTTTCCGTGACGGTCCCAGCTCCATCAGTGACATCAACCTCAATTTGAATATCTACAGACAAATGACAGTTAAAAAGTAAGACTATAGGTACTACTATCGGTCTTCTCCCCCTCTCCCTTATTTCTTGAAGCAGCTGCAAAGGTATAACAAGTGTCCTCAAGAATTCCTATTCTTCAAATTCGGCTGAGTGTAGACCGAACCAATCACTCAGTTGAATATTAACTGCTGTTTAAGCAATTTAAGCTAACACCTTAAATGATAATTCTAGGTATGTATTATCTTTGCTATGGAAGCAGCATGGTCACCCCATAAAAAGGGACTCCCAAGACGGTCTAGGATTCTAGGTTCCACGCTGTGGATTCTGGATTCCGGATTCCACAGCAAAAATTTGCTGGATTTCGGATTCTCCAGTAAGATTTTACCGGATTCCGGAATCCGCATTCCGTTATATGGGGCGATGCATGGGCTAATAATCATGTTCATTTAATATGTCACTACAACGGGAGTTCCAGCGTAAAGATTTTTACAATCATCAAGGAGAACAACTCAGCTCACGATGAAAAATTACATGATTTCCAAAATCATTTTCACACAGGATTTCATTGTCTTGGTTGACATTGGCTGTGGTCACATCTACGACGTAACTAAAGTTTAACTTAAGTTAGTGTCAAGTTACGTGATGTCATACATAACTGTAGTTAGTGCTTTTGGTCGACATTGCGGTCACACCACGCAGTTAACAATATAGTTAGTTCTAATTACCTATGCAAATTTTTGGTTTGTTGTTTCACGCTTGGTTTTTATTTTGCATATTTCATATGCCTATCTCGCGCGTGCGAAAAGAAGTGTCACATTCTGATTCGTTGTTTGTTTATAAACTAAAGACTAACCCACGAATCCTACTTGGGTATAACTATAGTTAGTCTGTATTGTTTTGGATCACCGAGGCGTAAATTTTCTAACTATAGTTAGAGCGAACAGAGAAGCGATCACATTACCGAAATAGTTAACCACTGATGCATTTACACCCCCACTAGTTTGTATTGAAAAGAACTCTATTTATTATCATGAAGTTTTGAAACTTAATTACTAACCGGTAAATGTAAAACGTGCTGAGCACTGCTATAGCTTGGTTTTGAAACGCTTTTTCTATTCCGGTTACAAACCCTCATAAAACCTCTTTCAAATATGTATACACTGTGTATAGACCCACGGCTCATTAGCGGCAGTTTACGGTATAAGCAGCTTATCGAAGTATTTCAATATTTGTGAACCAAACAGCGTCTATTTCATCGAAATTCGGCTTACCATTTGTGTAATCACCCACAGAAGATTTAGTAAAACACTGTACTTTCCACGCGAGATCCATCCTGCCGATTGTTTCGAACAATTCGTCCAAGAGAGACAGATTTCCCGGCGTTATTCTAGAATCTTGTTCCAAAATATCAAATAACTTTAAACCACTGCTTACGTCCTCCGTTTTCCCGCGTGGAATTAAATCTAGAACAGCAAACTTTAAGGTCTCCAAATCATTTCCCGAAAGATACGATGACAGTTCGACTAGAAACTTTCTGTAAGGGCTCAAAACATTATCGTTTCGAGCAAAAGCCATCGCTATCCTATCGACGAGAAGAAATCGCAGAGTATGCGGATGTAAATCATGCAAATGTGAGCGTCAAGACTATAGGGGAGTCCCCAGCCTATAACATATAACATAACATAACAACTTTATTTAAGTGTCGAAGTATGTAGCTAATAGAAGCTAATTGGGGACACAAAGTTAGTAGAAAATAGTTAAAGAAGTTTACTTTACTATAAAAAAAAGCACTTAAAAAAGTGCTTGGTAAATGCTATGTAGATTCAAGACAGAGGTGAACAGCCTTTTGTCAGGCGTTTGTAGAAATGGCGAAAGATTTCCTTCCGCTAAAGGAGGTGTTTCACTAAAACCGAAATATCTAGCCTGCATAGCAAACGTTTGAATCTGTGAAAGGTTTGAACCCAGGAGTCATTCAAAAGTAGAGAGTCAAAGTGAGTTGTATCACGTGATACAACTCACTTTGACTCTGAAGTTGCCTACCGCACAACTGCCGCACAGGTTGTCGAAACGTCAGTCACCGTCAACAACAACAGTCCTATTCAGGACTACGTTCACCCGCGGACCATTAAACTCAACCTACTTTTGAAACGTTTGAAACGCTAACTAAGAAATATCTAGCACAAATAACATTATATTTAATTTTAATTTCTTCGATTTCTTCTTCTCTTTAAAGTGAGGGTCAGTTTGCTTTGGTTTCTTACATTTAGACCTTTTTACTGATCCACGGTTCAATTTTATAAAACATTTTCAAGCGACTTTACAAGTGTAGGCATTGTCTGAAGATAATAGGTCAGTACTCTTATTGTGAATTACACTTGGAAAAGAAGATTTTTTTAATTGACACGGTTTTGTTTTTTTAGAGATCTGGCCACTGAACGAAAATAATAGAGTCGTATCTGTTTACGAAAAATATTTCACCCGCTTTCTCCACGTAAAAAGCCTGGTTAACTTGCAAAGTGTAGCCTTTTTGTAGAAACCAAAAAACACATTTGATTCCGATGCAAATCCAAATCTAAATGGTCCTATGTGGAAAAACTTTCAAGAAATTCTAAAAGTCTCAAATGCCGAATCAAATAACCAAAAACTTGCGAAAAAAAAACCGCAACAATTCTGATCGGATCGTCACAGCAGCCACAGAGCCCCTGGCTGCCAGAGGCGAAAAAGGACTCTGGCAGGTACTGGGAACGAGATGGTCTCTTTGAGCAGAACTTAACCTGGGGTGTGGTCAGCAGTTTCAATATCTGTTGATAACAAATGGCGAATCACAACTTACTGAAAGGTCAGCATTAGATCCCATCGGCCGTAGCCCCCTTTTCCCCTTATGAAATTTACACAAGGTAGAACTGTTTTCTGCTTTTAAATCTCACTTAGATGATATTCCAAGCTGGAAATATTCATGAAAGTGCAAGTGTCAAAATTGAAACGAAGGGCGGTAGGATTTGAACCCACGACCTAGAAAACCTAGCGTAGCACGCTAACCACCAGGCCACTGGATACAGAGGGAATAATTTAAGTACATAGGGCATCAACCCCAAACCAAAAAAAGAACCCAACCAGTTTCTAAACAGTGCTTAACCCTAATCAGTAAAAGCAGTTTTTTAACTCTAATATGTAAAAGGCAGTGCTGAACCCTAATAAATAACGAGGAAAATTGCGTTGTGTAAATTTCATGAGGTGTCCGAAGGGGTTAGGGTCGATGGGATCTAATGAAAACCGTACTGAAACGCAAGATATTCCAGAACTCCTCTGTACTTCAAAAAAAAATCTGTTCCCTTCGACAAAAACTTCCATTTCTATGAAACATCATATAACAGTATTTATACGCGATCTCCGATAAAGGATTGGACGATAAGTCTTCTGATAGACTAGAAGGAACGCGATCTGTAGTTGGAGGCTTGATCTTGAAAGGGAACAACAAGAAAACGAATCAGTAACCCAAGAAAAACATGCTGATTAAAACTGTATGGTAGTGACCTTCAGTTTCATTAATTTTTTTTTAAAAATCATACTTTTAAGATATTTCTTATCCTTCCTTTGATGTTTACTTAAAAGCTACTTTAAGCTGCCACTGTAGACGTACATCTACAGTAAAATAGGCAGAAAAAACGTGCTACTCGTTTTCCAGCAATGTTGCAACACAAGTTGCACATTTTTGCTGTTCGTTCAGGATTCGTGCTCTGATAAAGGTACACATGGTCAGCAGTTTGACTGTGAAAATATGAATATATAACTTGAACACTACACTAGAGAAAGGCGAATGAAAAGTGACTGTTAATAGAATTTTGGAAAAGTTGTTTCTTTGTGCTCACGCTCCTAAACAATTATTATTAGCCATTAAAAAGTCCACAAAGTTAAACGTTTCCTTAGCAAACTTGGTTATCGTAACCATTATTTCAGTTATTACAAAAATAATGACAACAATTTTTCCGCAACATGTTTTATTCAACATTTTGAAAAATAACAATGTAATAGATAAACTGTAAAAAGGTAATTCATCTAAAGAAAGACTAAACAGTGGGTATCAAAACGTTACTGCCTTCAGTCACCTAAGGGCGTTGGAAGCCCATCAGCCAATACTAATCAAGGGTTCTTCGGAAATGATCCGGTAAAAAGCCTCGCTTGTGCATAAACATTCAACACTTAAATCTGACTTTGTAAGACAAGGAAACTCTGTTTGAATTGCACCCAAATGAGCTGAAAAGACTGAGAAAAAACGTTTTGCCTCTAACAAGCTCCAACAGCAAGTAGCGCGAATTTTCCAATCGGAATTCGCGACTCCCAACTTCATAGTTTGAAAAGGTAGGACCCTTAAGCTTGCATTTTTTTTACGATGGTCAAATCTCCTGTTCTAATAAAACTTATCCAGCCACGAAGTTATAGCACAACTTTGCGCAAACGTTATTCAAAGACCCGACAATTTGTCTATTTTCTACTCACAGTTAAATTTCGTGAAGAAAAAGTTTGAGGTTCATCGCTCAGTCCATCGCTCACACTTGAAGTCCCGGGGGACACCTTGGGCTCATTGTTATGCATTTGTTTAGAGCGTATTCACGAAGTACAACGACTGATATCGACAGGTTTGCGAGATATTAATGACTGGAAAAAAGATGAGCGATATGATTTAATGTGTTCACGTGCACTTGTGGCACGAAGACTGCGAACAAATGTTTATTCAAAAGTAACAAATGGATTCTGAATAGTCGTAAACCTTGTTTCTGTAATCAGTGATTTTTAGATCAATAAAAATCAGGAATTAACTCTTTAGAAATTTTAACCAAATGTAATACCAAGAAATCGTTGTAAGTTTTTTTTTTCTCTTCAAAAATCTTTGAAAACATTACAGCTTATAAACAAAATTAAAGCGTGGAATGTAATTAACAATAATTATATATCTTGCTTGGAACTCGTACTTTAGTCGGGACACCTTCGGGAGTCTTAAAATTGGGCTTTTCAACCGATTTTGTGTCCAAGATTTCAGCGCAGAAACAGCGCAGATACAAAACTTCCCGAGCTATCACTGCAGAGGGGTAAACTTGGAAGACTGTAATGTGTCATGTATAGAGCGGAATTCTAAAGAGCGCTTTTATAAAAAGATAGAAGGCGTTAATAATTTTAGGGATGATCGATTTTGCTCATTTAAACGATTATTTCTTGCTGGAAAACTTTCAATTCTAAAATCTGCTCTATATATGACACACTAGACGTTTTGACTGATCATTTATTAATAAAATCACAGAGTGCTGTTTTCTATTCTTTGGACACAAAATCACGATTTCCCAATTTGGTAAAACTGTGGCTTAAAGCATTGCCGTAAAGCGCGATATACCAAATAAAACACAACCCTCCTAAATTTCCTTTCTTTTCATGTTGTCTCCGTAAAATTTATCTATATCGCCCCAAAAACAGCCGAGATATAAGCGTTTTAAAAGATGTGGCAAAAGCAACATTTTCCCTTATGAATTTATTTATAGATAGGTGTCCTCCGCGGCCTTAATACAGCTTCATTATACACTAGATGTTTTGACTGATCATTTATTAATAAAATCACAGAGTGCTGTTTTTTATTCTTTGGTCACAAAATCACGATTTCCCAATTTGGTAAAACTGTTGCTTAAAGCATTGCCGTAAAGCGCGATATACCAAATAAAAGACAACTCTCCTAAATTTCCTTTCTTTTCATATTGTCTCCTTAAAATTTATCTATATCGCCCCACAAACCGCCGAGATATAAGCGTTTTAAAAGATGTGGCAAAAGCAACATTTTCCCTTATGAATTTATTTATAGATAGGTGTCCTCCGCGGCCTTAATACAGCTTCATTTATGCTTGATTTTTAAACCATGCCTCGCTCCAGTTCCTCTCTACTCTGGTACAGCTGGGGGACACAAAGTGGACAGTGGTTTACACTCGTCCTTGGGAAAAACGACGTCTGTCTCGTCCTCTCTAAACAAATAGAAGTAAAAGTAGCATACTGGATCAACACTCCAACACATTAACACGTGTACATAGGGAATGGGTATCAATGATAACCAGCGGCCGAACCATAATATATATTTCACATTTACGAGTGGCCCATAGGAGCCTTTCTTTCGTAATATCACTCCACATCCTCCACATATAAAATGACAAACTCTTCAATCTGATTGGCTATTGACAGTCGCATTTCAGCATGATTGGACAGTGTAATCAGACGGTGCGTGACACGTGCGCAGTTACACTTGAATGCTGTTTCTTACTTAATATTTTGATTTATCCAGGAGTAAAAGCAAAGCTCTCGTTAATATACTTATAATTTAATCAAGAAATACAATCGCGTATTGCTAAACGGCGAAGTCTACAAGAATGCCCCCAAAAATATCAATAGATCTAATAAGCCAAAATATTCAACAATATTCAAATTTTTTTGTACATTTCTTTGCCGTTGTTAGTGTTGCAACGTGGAACTTCCTAGTTATACTTTCTATGGAGAAAATGTCGTACGTGCTCCCAAAGAAATTTGGTACTTGTATTCCTGTT